GATGAAGCAATGCCCTTCGCAGATCAGATCGTGTTTCACAGCCCACATCGCTCACCTGGGGGAAAGCTGCGTGTTCTCAGATTTCTGAGGGCTTTTCCAGACACTAAATGGCTTTTACATCTTCATTAAAATCTCCGAAAATGAGCTTCAAAGTAGTGAGAGATGGCCATCTCCCTGCGCACGGAGCTTCAGGAGGAGAAATGAATCAAATATCAGCACAGCGAAATCTGATCACACAACAAACACTGTGAGCTGACCGCTCGCTCTCGTTCCCAGGAGAAATATTTGCTTTTGTGCGTGTCTTGGCTGTAGGTGACAGGAAGTGTGATGGATCCATTCAAGCCCCGCAGTGTCAATCTCTTTATGTCAGAGATTATTGATATGTTCCTGTCTGCTCATCCCTTTTACAATATGACTGGAAGGCTTTATTTTTAGACTGCGTCTGGATTATGTGATAGAGAAATGTCTCATTGATAAGAATTTTGTAAACTTTGCTCTTTGTAAAGGGGGGTCTCTCTTTTTCCCCCATTCAGATAGTTCAATCTCCATTTTGTTTTGGACAGTTTTTAATTATTTTGTGATGTGTAGATAAAGCATTTGACAAGACTTTCTTTGCATTAACTATTTGGTACCAATTATCCGGCTGCCGCTGCGATGTACCTGCCCTCCGAACAGACACCATTTTGTTTGTGTCATATTTATCCGGCTGTCCTATTCAGCATGGAATTGGTCTAAACTGGTTTATCTTTGGAGATCCCACAAATTCCGTCGCTTAGTCTGATTAGCCATCAATGATTACTGATACATAAAATCAGTCCTATAAATGGATTCTATTTTGCCCAATGTCTGTGGCAATGGGCACCAGATGGCTTTACTTGTCAGTGGCGTTCTGTTTTTATGTCATGGATTAATTACAATGCAATTATTGTGTCTGCTGGCTACTGTCAAAATACGAAACTTGGTAAATGTGTGGGTATCGCCAAAAGTCAAAGCAGTCCGAATTAAGGGAGCGTTTCGCAAGAAGAGCCATTCTGCTCTTACCTGCTTGCTGTAAATGATAAATCACTGTAACTTTACTGATAACCTCTGACTTATTCACTAAATATTCAATTTGAAATCAGAATGGCAGAATTGAGTCTACACTGGGGACTTTCTTCAGATCAGCGATTTTATCCTCCGCTCTAAAATTCAAGTTTCATTTCATTACAAATTTGGAGTTATTTGAATTGCCCTCATTGTGTCCTCTGCCTAAAACGTCTGCGGAAACGAGAGATATTAAGTGAGATCAAGTTATGATTTTTAAGAGCAAGGAAGCGAACACCAGTCATTCTATCGGTTAGTCATCCAACCACAAAACACAAGAATAAAGTAAAGAAATGCAATAGCTTTAAAGTACAATATATTTTATATTATTTATTTATCAAATATTTTATGCATTGAGATTTCTCTCATTTTCGAGTATGCCCTGGGTCCACAAAACATTGCATTGATACAATTAGGGTACAATAAAATACAAAAACAATATTAATACACAATAAATACAAAATTTAACATAGAACAGGTAGGAAATATATAATCAACCATAACCGGTGCATTCTGTTTTGAGATATGTAGAGAGGGATCTCTTAAAGGATTTTAGGCTTGGGGAAGATTTGAAAGTGTGCGGAAGGTCGTTTTATAATTGAGGTGCTCTGTAGGAAAGGGAGGATCGAGCCACTTTCTTTTTGTATTTAGGTAGACTAAGTAAAGTGCTGGTACTGGATCGGCGGTTGTAGGAGGTGGGAACAGCCAGGGAGAGCATTCTTCCCAGAAAAGCTCTTAAACACAAGGCTGGAAAGATGAAGTATGAGTGAAACAACCAAATAAAAGAAACTCAAAGCACCTACGCAGTGCAGATCATTAAATAAAATCACTGTTTAGTAGATATACCACAAAGGAAAATGTACATTTATTTAATTATGCAATGTTTTCATTGGGGTTGTATATAAAAACAGCTTGGAGAAGCTGCAGATCCCTTGTCTGTAGCCTTTGCAAGCCTTCCCCCTCTAACCGTGCTCAGTCTCTCTGTAGCTGTCCAATCACAGACTTCCCAATGCAGCTCAATGAGAAGTCTTGACAAGGCAGGTGCTCTGGGCAATTGCTGCCTCTTGAGTTTAGCTCCCCTGAGCGAACAGGACCAGTAGTGCGATCGAGGGCCAGGGGGTGTAACAATGTTCTTTTATAGAAGTATCAATTTCTATTGAAATCTGCACTTTTTGTAAAATTAAAAAGGGGACACACTCTTCACACACAAAGCACTTTAATAAGATAAACTGGTTTGGAGGACTTTTAAGAAATAGTAATCTTTATTTCTCTTTCTACAGGACAAAAGATGAAACCTGCCCCAACAGTGAACTTCGTTGATTAAACTCTGGGTCTGTTAAGATATTCTACATGAAAAACATTCGAGAAAAGACACTTTAGTGGTTTTCAAGTATTTTCAATTTGTTCGTTATTTATGACACATTTTTTTCTGGACGTTTTGGTTCTCCAGTTTTCCATGTAAATACGCCTGTTTCTTGGAGTCAGATGATCTTTCAGCGGAACCCAAGAAATGTACTATATTTATAAACTAAAAACGCAAGGTTGTACATTAAAATGTTACTGTTTCGAATGTGCCAAGTTTTATAGCAAGTACGATACATTTGCACTCAAGAGAAAAAAAAAGTGACTGAAAATAAGCACAAAGTTGTGTTGCATGCGGTCTCTTCACGCATGGAAGGTTTCAGGTTGCCAACAAGCGGACACACTCACACCTGGATCAAGATCTCCCGTACAGACAAACCTCGACACTTACACAGAGCCAGGCGGTTTGGAAAATCGTGGCAACTTACAGTATGGTTACAAGTGAATCCACGCAATATGTGCCGACACACAAACCTGATAGCTTGCCCGTTGCTGTCTGACTGATAAAGACCACGACAGGGTGTAGGAGTGACTATAAAAAGCAGGGCTACAAGTCAATCTATGCACCCTAGGCATTGGGTCTTCCACCTCAAGGCTTCTGTGCGCGGCTTGAAGAAAAAGGTCACGGTGATCCTTCAAAAATCTTGATTAAGAGATTATTTCTGCTGATGTTAGAGCTGGGAAAATAGAATGGAGGGAAATTTCACTAAAAAAGGTTCGGAGTGTAACTTTTAACAGTGGTTGTTAGCGGACGCTATGTGACACAGCCGGTCTTGGTAAGAAGTTACCGGTGTTTTGTTTGACCTTAGTCTGCCATGAGCCCCCTGTGTTGGCTTTTATAACAGAAAATGAATACTTTCATGGGGATCAGGGAATAATTTTGTATGCTTCGAATAAAGATTTTTGCTAAACCTTTTAAACGGTTTCTTTCATTTTATTGCCCTAATCTGTGTGTTTTGCAATCACAGTGAGAGTCAACATTTAACACCATGAAGTTTGATATCTCTTGTTTAATGTTTACTATCCTTTTCAATTAATTTCTCATTCTGAATAACATTCTGGAGATTCTCATTATTTACATGAACTACTCAGGTTAATAGGGAATCTGAAGGTAATTTGAAGATGGTGAATATAATGGGTTGTAATATTTAGCTCTGTAGCATTAACGGAATTCTGTTTTGGACGTGGATCGGACGATATGTTAATTCATTGTCAGCGATGTACTAGTAATTTAAATGGAAACATTAGAACATGTTCCTATCTCACTATACTTGCTGGTATTCTAGGTACCCGTAACAAATTTCACCTCAATGAATGATGATTATTTATTTACAATATCTACAAAAAATCTGCATAAAAAGGTTTCATTTTATGTATTTAAATATGTTTTCTTTCAATGTTTTTCCCCCATTTATATAACAACGGAATTCGCCAGTTTATAAAAATGCATTAACAGGGTTTCAGTGAGAATCCTTATGAATTTCAAATTTAAAGCCAAAACTAGTTGCCATCCTTGTACCCTGTGTGACACAGCACAGCCCATCCTTGTACCCCATGTGACACAGCGCAGCCCATCCTTGTACCCTGTGTGACACAGCGCAGCCCATCCTTGTACCCTGTGTGACACAGCGCAGCCCATCTTCGTACCCCGTGTGACACAGCGAGGCCCATCCTAGTACCCCGTGTGACACAGCGCCGCCCATCCTTGTACCCCGTGTGACACAGCGCAGCCCATCCTTGTACCCAGTGTGACACAGCGCAGCCCATTCTTGTACCCTGTGTGACACAGCGCAGCCCATCCTTGTACCCTGTGTGACACAGCGCAGCCCATCCTCGTACCACGTGTGACACAGCGAAGCCCATCCTCGTACCCCGTGTGACACAGCGCAGCCCATCCTCGTACCCTGTGTGACACAGCGCAGCCCATCCTTGTACCCCGTGTGACACAGCGCAGCCCATCCTCGTACCCCGTGTGACACAGCATGGCTGTTCGTTTGTGACCTGTAATAGGGATCAACCAATTATTGGTCTGGTCGATATTATCGGCCAATATTCGGTATTTTTGGCAATATCGGTATCGGCCAATAGAGATACCGATATTGCCGATAATACTGACCAGGACCACCGGGCCCATTACAAGCCCGGTGGTCCTGGGGGGGGAGGTGCAGCAAGTGCATACTTACCTTTCCAGCAGCTCCCTTCCGCTTCCTGTGTAAATCTCACGAGTCCCACAGCGCGCAGGCCGCAAGATTTAGACAGAGAACTGCTAGGAAGGTAAGTAAGCAATTGCTGCTGGGCCACCTATGTACTTTCCATGCCACTTTGAAGCAGGGAGGGCGGACTAAAAAATAAATAAAACATTTAAATATTAAAAAAATTAAATACCCCCCCAACCCACCCATTTTACACAAATAACATCCCTACACACACACACTCTCTGCATTATATACACACACACTCTGCATTATATGCACACACACTACACAAACACACACACACACTGCATTATATACACACACACACACACTACACAAACACACCCACACTCTGCATTATATACGCACACACTACACAAACACACACACACTGCATTCATTATATATTCACACACAACACAAACACACTCTGCATTCATTATATACACACTACACACATACACACTACATCCACTACACACACACTACATAAACAAAAACACACACAGCTCCCCTGTCTAAACACACTGCATCCACTACATGTGGCATGTATAATTTGTGCATTTACCTTTAGAAATAGTTTATTTTTTCAAAATGGTAAATGTACAGCAAGTTATCGGCTGTCGGCCTGAAAGTTCACAGATTATCTGTATCGGCTCTGAAAAATCAATATCGGTCGATTCCCTAACCTGTAGGATCAGCATTTCTGTCTGTTTTGCAGGATTCTACCAGCGTAGCAGGTGTAACATATCTCTTTAATGTTATTCGTAAGTAAAGATTTCCTGTCATTAAGCGTCTCGAATGTAATTTCATCTCGCTAGGAGCCCTTTGATTTACTGCATGAAATGTTTGTCTTTTTTTTGTGGACAAAGTCAATTAAAAAAAAATATTAACGTTATTGAAAATCTGATGGAATCCACCTGTTACATATTAATACTGGTGACATCCCATCTGGTTCCACTTGTAAAATATTGGCGGTGGCCTCGCTGAAAGTGGCTCGCGACAATTAAACGTTCACATTATCTATAATGCTCTGGGGAATCTTTCACAATCTACTCAAAACTTGAGAAAAGACATCTGCGCTGTGGCCTAGCAAGCACCATTCAGACACTGTTTATATTTAAAACAAACCAGGAAGCTGACGCTAATAAATTATTTATCAACACGAAGCTGCTAATCCCTAAAGAATCACTGACTGCCGTGACGTGTAAAGGGAGACTATAGAAGGGAATCCATTTTCAAAGGAGCTCATGTCCTGCCATAGTTTAGTGGACCAGAAAGGTTAAATATTTTTCTTCTCTCAGGTGAACTACCTGACCGCCATTAGTAACAGGATCCACTTGACTAGTCTTTGTCTGATGACATCAGTGCTGGACGCACAGCATGTCATGGCGCTTTTGTGTCCAACTGCTGCAGGGTACAAAGGGATGGTTCAGACAACGCACTGAGAATCCCAAGCCGCATGCAGAGAACGCGGCAACAATCCTGCACGGCACGCAGAGAACCCACTGGAAATCCTATGCCGCGCGCAGAGAACGTGCTGACAATCCAGTGCTGCGCTGACAATCATACGCTCCGCTGACAATCCTACACTGTATGTAGAGAACGCACGGACAATCCTACCCTGCATGCAGAGAACGCGCACAGAGAACACGCTGATAATCCTACACGCATGCAGGGAACGCACTGACAATCCTACGCTGCATGCAGAAAACGCGCTGACAATCCTATGCCGCACACAGAACGCAGCAAAATACTACGAGGCACGCAGAGAACGCGCTAGCAATCCTACGCCGCACGCAGGGAACTCGCTGACAACCCTATGCTGCGCGCAGAGAACGTGCTGACAATCCAACGTTGCATGCAGAGAATGCGCTGACAATCATACGCTGCGCAGAAAACGCGCTGACAATCCTACGCTGTATGTAGAGAACACGTTGACAATCCTACGCTGCATGCAGAGAACGTGCAGAGAACACGCTGACAATCCTACAGCACACGCAGGAAACGCGCTGACAATCCTATGCCGCACGCAGAGAACGCGCTGACAATCCTATGCCGCACGCAGAGAACGCGCTGACAATCCTACACTGCATGCAGAGAGCGCGCTGACAATTCTACACTGCATGCAGAGAACGTGCTGACAATCCAGAACGCGGTGACAATCCTATGACGCACGCAGAGAACCCACTGACAATCCTACGTCACAAGCAGGGAACGCGCTGACAATCCTATAATAATATACGTATATATAAAATATAAAAATATTTTTTTTCCTCTCTCACTTGAACTACCTGACCACCATTAGTAACAGGATCCACTTGACTTGTCTTTGTCTGATGACATCAGCGCTGGACGCACAGGATGTCATGGCGCTTTTGTGTCCAACTGCTGCCGGGTACAAAGGGATGGTGCAGAGAACATGTTGACAATCCTATGCCGCATGCAGAGAACGCGGCACCTATCCTGCACGGCACGCAGAGAACCCGCTGGCAATCCTACGCCGCACGCAGGGAATGCGCTGACAACCCTATGCTGCACACAGAGAACGCGCTGACAATCTAACACTGTGTGCAGAGACTGTGCTGACAATCCTACGCTGCGCAGAAAACGTGCTGACAATCCTACGCTGTATGTAAAGAGCGCACTTACAATCCTACGGTGCATGCAGAGAACATGCTGACAATCCTACACCGCATGCAGGGAATGTGCCGACAATCCTACACCGCATGCAGGGAACGTGCTGACAATCTTACGCTGCACGCAGAGAACGCACTGACAATCCTACGCCGCAAGCAGAGAACGCGCTGACAATCCTACGCCGCATGCAGGGAACGCGCTGACTACCCTACGCTGTGCGCAGAGAACATGCTGACAATCCGACACTGCATGTAGAGAACACGCTGGCAATCCTACGCCGGATGCAGGGAATGCGCTGACAACCCTACGACGCACGCAGAGAACCTGCTGACAATCCTACGCCACAAGCAGGGAACATGCTGACAATCCTACTCCACATGCAGAGAACGACCTGACAATCCTAGGCAGCATGCAGAGAATGCGCTGACAATCCTACACTGTGCACCGAGAATGCGCTGACAATCATGCGCTGTATGTAGAGAACGCGCTTACAATCCTACACTGCATGCAGGGAACGCGCTGACAATCCTACGCCGCACGCAGAAAACGCCCTGACAATCCCACGCCGCATGCAGAGAACGCGCTGACAATCCTACGTCGCATGCAGGGAATGCGTTGGCAATCCTACAATGTGTGCAGGTAACGCACAAAATACTGGGGTTAATCTTCTTAATAGAAAAATGTATGCATTTTATTTAAGCCCTCCAGCAGTGCAGCCGCTATTAAGACTGAAGCTGTGACTGTCCTCCATGTTACTGTTAGATTTACTGCAATTTGGCTTTTAGTAAATAACCACAAGGTCATATTGCCTCCGCTGAGAACTGAAAAGACTAGTTTCATTTTTAGTTGGAATAATAGCAGAATTGGGGCATTTTTCCAGTTCAGTTACTTTGACCCAAATTGTATGATTCCCCTGTTAACCTGCATAATTCCTTCTTTAGACCAATTCTATGAATTAAATTTGTCTACCCACACAATCCAATGCACACACTAAGCATTATGGGTAATGAATAACCTGCCTCATGCGTGTTCCTATACAGATATAGTGGACATGAATTACTATGAAAGGAAAAGCCTGTCTGGTCTGTCTGAACAGGGCAAAATCATCTGACTGCGCATGGGGCCATTCAGACTGCAAATGCGGGCATTACTTTTCTACATTTCTGGATCCAAATAAGTATAAACTGTTTGCCAACAAGCAGCTCTGTCGGCCAATGAGCAAATAGTTTTAAAATCAATACAAAAAAAACAAACCATGGGTGACTCTATGATTGGGAGTGTGGAGGCTGCACCGCGCTAGCGAGCCATAACAAGCCACAGAGGTTTAACAACAAACCGCAAGTTGTGGCATAGCTATAAAGATCGTCACATAAATGAGAAATTATAAAATGTTACATTAATAAATTATCAGGAGAAACAAAAGAGTAACAAACGTGTGTGTGTGTATAAATAAAGCACATTTGGAGAACCGACAGTTTACAGGGGATGGTTTTTTTTTTGTGTGTGAGTAAATTCTCAGAATTCGGTTCATCATCTCAATTCATGGTCTTTTTAAATTTGGCCTGATCTACCCCCATTGGAGCCCCTCTACCCCTCTTGATCTCCTGTGACTGCAGATTAGATCACATCTTAACCCTTTGACGGCTGTGCTGATGGCTGTGTGCATTCTTTGGTCATGACCTACTCTGTTTCTCCACGGGTCTGTTAGTGATTTCAATCTGCAATGTGTTGCGTTTTGTCCTGGAATGAGTTGCGTGCCAATGACATCATACCGTGGCGTAACTCTCAAAATCCCACATTTAAAGAGAGCACGTCCTACTGCAATGCTTTACATGATCAATGACTATTAATAGGCAGTCTATATCTGGATCTTATACCTACAGACCCAATGGGAGCATCAGTAATATATAACGTATTATTTACATTACAACAATAACCACTCAAGCCGGCTATAGTGGTTATGGTACTAGCGATACTGTGGTGCTCTCCCAGTGTAAATAGTCAGTTCATTCATCTTCTTACCTGGGATCCACTGGTTTCAGCTTCCACAGAAACAGAAAAGATCAAATTTTACTTTGTCATCGATCATGAATTAAACCTAAATATCCCAAAATACACGATATA